TTTTGGTTTTTCTCCGGTACCAGGAACTGAACTCATGACCTTGCGCTTGCCAGGCAGGCGCTTTGCCGCTGAGCTAAATCCCCAGCCCCAATAATTTTATTTTATATTAGACTTGATTCATTCACTTAAAAAATTTGAGTTCCATGTAATGGGTCATATCCTGATAAAATACCAGATGTCATTAGTAAGTAAATTTCATTTAGCAAAGCCAAATTCATGCTTTGTTGGTCAGAGAGACATCAGGAATACTCAGGAGGCGTCTTACTTAAGCCTGGCTGCAGCATGTGAGGGAGGTGTGGGATGCTGTCACAAGCCTGGGGTGGAAGATGGCAAAAGGGCCAGAAGGTGACGGAGGTCCCCCACACTAGACCTTGGGCTTGTTCCTGCCCAGCCCAGGGTGTGACACTGTAGCCTGGGAGTCCCCGGCTGGGTTGGTGGATGGGTACAATTCTAAGATCCGACCTTTCCAGGAGAGGAATGTCCAGCAGCTGATAGACTGGACTGGGTTGTGTTTCCAACACAACCCTTTATGTTGGAAGAAGATGACATGCCCATGACCTTCCTCAAACTGGCATGGATAGGCAATGTTCTGCTGGATAGAAAAGATACTTAAAAGCTGGTGCAGTGCTGTTAATCTCAGCACTCTTAGGAGGCTGAAGCAGGAGGACTGCAAGTTTGAGCCCAGCCTGGGCAATTTAAGCAACTTAGCAAGACCCTGTCTCAAAATTTTAAAAGGCCTGGGGATGTAGTTCAGTGTAAAGGTCCTGAGTTCAATTCTCAATGCCACAGGAAGGAAAGACGAGAAAGGGAGTGGAAGGGGAGGGGAGAGAAAAGAAAAACCAAACAAAAGGAGGAAAAAGTACTCAGAGAAAGCCTGCTCCTGAGCATTGTCCTCACCAGTCTCCCGGTGTCTTCCTTGCAGGCAGCCTTCCTCCTGCATCTCCTGGGAGGTGGTGGAGGCCACGTGCGCCTGCCTGCTGGCCCAGGGTGAGGAGGCCGAGAAGGACCACTGCTCACAGTGCCTGGCCGAGCAGATGATCCTGGAGGAGTTCGGGCGATGCTTGTCACAGATCCTTCACACTGAGTTCAAGTCCAAGGGGCTGAAAATCGAGCCGAATCCGATGTAGTCAAGTGTGAAAATGGCATTGTCGTCAGAGGAGCACAAGGCACTGGGACAGTTGACTGGTTGGGACCCAACTCTCCCATGGGGGCACCTGTGGGTTCGCGAAGGCGCTCTGAGGGAGGGCGGCCTTGTGTGAGGAGGGCAGGATGTGGGCACTGTGTCTGACAGAGGGGAGCTTGGGTTCCTGCCACCTAGGGAGGGTGGTGACGGGCTGGGGAGGGACAGCTTGTTCCTCTCTGGAGCACAGTCCTCCAAGCCTGCTTCTGTAAGGATGCAGGATAGTTCTCAGTTTTGTTTTTGTTTTTCAAACTTTTAAAAATATATTCTTCAGAGAGGCTGCTTTGATAGAACTTAGGCTTTCCAGAGGGCCACTGAACACCCTAGGGTTTCTGCAGCAGAGACAGGCCCCAGGGGCCGGGGACAGCAGACAGTGAGGTCTGCAGGGCAGGCTGACATGAAGAGTCTTGGGTCATGGAGCTTCAAATTGTGTGCAGTTTCTCATGTGTTTCTACTTGAATTGTGGAAAGGTTCGTTATTCATTTAACTTATCCATAATTATTGTTATGATGATATTATTCCTTGTAAAATCTAATTAGAGTGACTATCTTGCAAAACCAGCAGGGAAGATTAGTTATGGTGGTTCTCTTTAGGTTCTATTGTAAAAGTAAAGAAGAATACACATTTCTAAGGTCTTTAGTTGTGTCACAATTAACATGGTAACTGAAAATGTACTTGTCAGTACCCACCCTGAAATAGATTAAAATAGTGTTCTTTCACGTGTCTGGGTTTGTTAATCTCTCGGCCACTAAAGAACGGCAGAGCACTAGGGGCCAGCGCAGCGGCAGCAGCCACTGGACACACCAGGAGGCCGAGACGGACGCTGTGGAGCTGAATGTGCAACAGCCTGCGAGCCACAGAGGGAGGAAAAGACACTTCATTCTTGTCCTTCGCAATCCCCTTTTGACTTCCTGGGATGCAGATTCTGTGGCAGAGAGTCAGAGGTAAAGGCCAGTCCAGAGTCCCTCACTGTCAGCAAGGGACAGTTCCGGGGTCCCTCCTCCACCCCTCAGCACCGAAATCCTCCAGTGTCCAAGTCCCACAGGTAAAATCGCATGAGATTTGTGTGTAATGTACACACGTCCTCCTGTGTGTCATAAACCATCTTTAGATTGCTTTAATACCAAATACAGTCCCCTTTGCATTAGTATATGTTTATAATACATAGCACATGATTCACTGTGGGACACTGGTACAGGTACACAGCACATCTTGATCCTTTTTATTTTCCCTTCCCCGCTCACTCGCTCTCTCTCGTCTTCCCCCATCCCAGAACTCCTTCCCATCTCCACAGTCTTAACTCCCTGTTTCCTAGCATCTTTTATTTTTCTCTTTAGGTTGTTTATAATTTTGATTTTGAATGTAAGAGAAACTATGCAATATTTAACCTTGTGAGTCTTAGGTCACGTAGCATTATGGTCTCCATGTGCAGCCACTGTCCTACGAGTGACTCAAATCTACCCTTCCTTATGGCAGAGCAGTGCTCCGTTGTGTATAATGCCACACTTTCTTCACCCATCCATCCACTGAGGGACACACAGGCTGCTTCCAAGATTTAGCTGTTATGAATTGTGCTGCTATCCGCAAGGGGAAGCAGGTAGCACTGTAATATGATGCCTATGACTCTTTCGGGAAGGTGCCTAGAAGGGGAACAGCTGGGTCACATGGAATTTCCATTCTTCGTTGTCCTGAGGCATCTCCACACTGATTTCCATAGTTAATACCTAATGCAATGTGCTATGTAAGTAGTTTTTATTTGTAGGATTTTTTTTAAATTTTAGGGTTTTTAAAATTTTTTGTGGTGCTGGGCTTCACCTGGTTAACCAAACACTCTACCACTAGCCCACATCTACTCTTTTAAAAGATTTTTATCTTGAGCAGGCTGGCCTTGAACTTGTAGCCCTCCTCCCGCAGGCATGTGCCACTAAGCCTGGCTGTAGTTTTTGTGAGCATTATTTTGTGGATGTTTCTGATTTGCCACTGGCTGAGTCAGAAGATGCAGAAGCTGTAATTACCAGGGGCCAGCTGTACTGGCACTGTGTGGAGTGGTCACTGTGTGGAGTGCTCATTGCAGGGGACAGTCGTTGTACACAACGGTCACTGTGTGTGACGGTCATTGTGCAGAATGGTTACTTTCCGGCATGGTACTGTGCAGAACGGTCCAATAGAGCTGTCTCCAGCTCTAGTGTATTCTCTCTGGGAAGTAGTCACCTTCTGTGGCTCCTCTGAGAACTGTCACTTCACCCATCTCTTTGCCGGGCAGCAAAGGCCACCTCAGCTGTCCCCAGCCATTTTTTCCTTCCCCTGGCCTTCCAGCTGCCACTGCCTCCCCTACCGTTTATTCCTAAAAGGAAGGAAAGGTCTGGGGAAGGAGTAGCTGCTGGAGCAGGGGAGGCCCTGCGCACCTGTCTGGAGGCTGGGCGGCCGGGGCAGTGCCCGCCACCACCCCCAGGGCCCTGGAGACACAGGCCCTGCAGGGACCAGGGCTTAGAGCGTCTGACAGGCTGCTGGGCCCTCAGGGAGTCAGTGTAGCTCGAGAGACCCTGCTCACCGGCAGGCTGCAGGCGATGGGGTTGGGTAGAGTAGCCCAGGCATCGTCTCTGACCAGCAGTAGCAGCAGCCTCAGAGGACTTGTGAGCACAGTGTGGCCCACGCAGCCTCCTGGCCCTGGCAGGGCCTCAGGGACCCAGATGTCTGATGGAGTCAGAAAGCATGAAAGAGAACTGAAGCGCTGGAGAGGAGAAACCTGCGAACTGAGGAGGCTGGAGCCCAGGTGTGAGGCCCCAGTGTCAGGCAGGTCGGCAGTGTTGCTGTGCCCGAAGGCTCAAGGCTGCCGGAGTGGCTGAGATGCGAGATCGGGAGCAGAAGTAGGCAGGGGGAGCAGCAGGCTGCACAGGGAGTCGGGCTTGAGCGGCCAGTGGAAGGAGGGAAGTGAGAACTGTCCAAAGTCTCACTAGCAGGGACGGCAAGCAGAGCTGTGTGTCCCTTGGCGCAGGTCTGAGGTAGGATTCACCCTTGGGTGTGCCTGACCCTGGCCATCACCTAGGGGAGCTGTTCCCAGGCTGAGCACAGAGGTCAGTGGGCCACGCGGGGCTCCGGCTCCTGAGTCCTCCTGCCAGGGGCCCCCGGGGACGGGTGTGCTTAGTAAGCAGGGGCCAGTTTGTATGTCACCTGTCAGCTTAGCAGAATGATTTCTGGCTCCTTTATAATTTTTTTGCCTGTTTTCTGAATTTTTTTCTTTTGAGACGGGGTTTTACTATGTCCTTCAAACTGGCCTATTGTGCAAATAATTCTCCTGCCTCAGCCTCCCAAATAGCTGGAACAACAGACCTCACCGGTGTTCTTTCTGCCCCTGCCTCTGGCTTCGTCCTGCCCCGTTTCTCCTGTGCAGCCTCCCTTGCACACACATCTGGTCTGATACATGGTTCAGAGCTCACCCTTGCCCTTCTGCCCTGGCCGTCCCTCTGCCCCCTCCCCAGGCTGGCAGGCTCTCTGCCCCACTCAGCACCTTCACAAGTATAAGTCACCCTCTGGACCCTAAGCACCCTGTCCCCTAAAGAGCAGCTCCTCTGGGGCATGGGCAGGGAGGTCGGCCCGCTTGTGTGTTTGTTAATCTCAGTGACACACTTACCTTCATAAGCACGTGTGACTCAGCCTCATAGTAACAGAACTCCACGTTCCCTAGACACGAATCAAGAGGTGACTCAGACCTCGATGTGGAATTTGGGTTTAAGATTTGTGTCTAACACACATGATTATCATCCAGATTCATCTTTTAAAACACACTGGGGGCAGCGGCCTTGAGGTTAAAGTGTAGAAAAATCAGAAAATTCCAAGTAGTTGCTATTTTTTATTTTGTCACTCAAAATAATTACAAAAAAGGAAAAACTTAAGTCATAACAACACAGCATCAAAGCAGAGAACAGAAGTGATTTACTCCGCAGAAGTTGGCATAAGTTTATCATCTTAGTGTGACTTTAAATCACAACACAGATGACCACACTGGGAAAGGTGGCGGCTCAGGACTGCTCCATGTCCTCCGGGGACCCTGCGGAGGGGACGCCCGGCAGGCTGCCTAGGAGCCCGGCCTCTGCAGAGGAAAGAACAGCACGTTAGCAAGGCCTACAGAAAAGCGCTTGGCACGGGTGGGGGGGGGGGCTGTGTGCTCGCTCTCTGGGACTCAGGGCCACACCCTGACTTAGGTCCAGCATTCTGCATTCCCGCCCTTTCCCTGACTTAACGCACACGCTGAGTGTCTGACACTGTCAGACTTTTATATTCATGCTTTTAAGAAGTGTTGTTTAGGAAACAAAAACCGCTGTCGCCTAGTGAAAGAATTCCCATGTCATAAAATTTAAAACAAAATAAACTAAAACACAAAAACACCTGGTAGCACCCATAGCTCCTTGCAGGAAAAGGCTCCTGGAGACTCCCACAGAGGGATTGGGGCCCCCTAGTTGGGGCCCCCCCAGTTCGGGATGTTGAGCAAATCCCAGGGTTTCCGAGTCCAACTCCCATACTTCCTGCGTGGGACCCGTCTAAGGACTGAGCAACAGGCCTGACACCTCCGGCCCCTCCTCACGCCCTCCGGGTCCTGCAACCACAGCACTTACAACAAGACCAACAGAAGAACCCAAGTGTTAGCCTGGACCTTGCCATACTCAACAGCACAGGGACACCCAAATGACTCTCCTGGAGAGTCAGTGCCCTCCCTGTGGGCCGCGCTGGCCTCTCTGCAGTTCTGACCAGGACTATCCCCGGAGGAGCATGGGTTCAAAGGCAGCCGCCTCACATAAGAGCTGCACAGCAAATGCTGCAGTCTGAAGCAGGACCCCTCGGTTCCCATGCTCACAGAGCATGGCTTCAGACGGCCTCTGAAGAGCCAGGCTTGTGGCCGACCATTGTCCTAAAGGGTACAGCCCCACTCTTCTTGTGGTGGCAGTGCTGGTTTGATGACCCTTGTGACTGTGGTGAAATCCCAGCCCTAGCGCAGCCGTCGTGCCTGTGGATCCTAGCATCAGCTGTACACCGTACAGGGCAGTGTCAGCTGCTTCCCAGTGGAATTCTATGGAACCTTTTCCTTTTTTTTTTTTTTTTCTTTTTTCAGTAATGGAAATTGAACCAGGACCTTTACATTCCCAGCCCTTTTATTATTTCTTATTTTGAGACAGGGGCTCACTAAGGCATAAATTGCCTAGGCTGGGCTCAAATTTGCAATCCTCAGCTTCCCTAAGTGCTGGGATTACAGACCTACCCCATCAGGTCTGGCTGGATAGGAGGGGATTTGTTTGTTTTTTTGAACTGAGATGTCACCATGTGGCCCCGCCTGATACTGAATTCTTAGGCTCACGTGATCCTCCTGCCTCAGCCTCCCAAGAAGCTGGTATTACAAGTGTGGGCCACCATACCCAGGAAATGGAATCCTTTTTTTTGTACTGGGAATCGAACTCAGGACTTTGTGCTTGCCAGGCAGGCGCTTGTGCCACTGAACTATATCCCTGGCCCTGGAATCCTTTCTTGATAGAGTTTGTGTGTCCAGGGTTCTAAGAGGTGACATGTTCTTTTTTTGTGTGTGTGCTGCTAGGGATGGAACCCAGAGCCTCACACATGCTAGGTAAGTGCTCCACCATGAGCTACAACTCCAGCCCCAAATGGCATTTTAAATCAGTAGTATTTCACATACCTTTGAGATGTAAGAAAGTCAGAAACTCAATTATGGTGCGCACAATGTTGTTCTCAGGCAATGACCTGTCAAAGCTTCCTAGAAGGCAGGAAAGACCAACACTCAGAGCTGGCACCATGGGTGACCTCCACCCCTCCCTCCCTCGTCCCCCATCCTAGGGAGGAGCTGGGGTTTTCAGGGCCAGGAAGCCAGCCCGGGGACCCTCTGCATTCCCAGGGCTTGCTTGGGGCAGGGGAGGGGCTGGTTCCAGGCCAGCTCCGCTGGGACACAAGCCCAGCCAGCCCCTGGCCTCGTGGCCTCCCTGGCCAACTCCTTTGCTGTCCCTGCGGCTGCTGCACACCCTCACTCTTGGCTTCACTGCTTTGCTTCCATCTCTGGCAGATGACAGATGTGATGAGGTCACGTGGTCCTAGTCAAGTCATGGCCAGGCTGAGCTGAGGCCATGGCGGTGCCTAACACCCATGCCTGCCCTCGGCATATCCTGAGAGGTGGTGGAGAGCGGAGGGGGCCCTGAACAAAGCCACTCACCTGTCTGCATGTCGCCATCTGGCTGGAGCTCCCTCTTGCCAGCGAGGCCGTGCTTGTCACTAAATGATCTGTGGTTGTCGACGGCATCTGCTCGCAGATCACAGGGGGAGGCATCCGACTGCTGTTACTGTGACTTGTACCCCACCCCCCCACAAGGGACACACAGCTGCTCACCGCCAACACACACAAACGACTAGACTATGAAAATAAGCAAAGTGCGGGTCAATCTCCACGGGACCCCAGGTAAGGACGTGGGTCTTGGGGAAATGTGACTGCACGGTTCTCAGACAGGCAAGCCAGGCTGGGGAAGGGAAGGAGGGAGACAGGGCAGCAGGGAGAGTGCATGTGTGTGTGTGTGTGTGTGTGTGTGTGTGTGTGTGTGTGTCTCAGTGGTATGAAAATGGGGGGGGATGCAGCAGAGAGGTCTGATGCAGGTCAGAAATGATGGACACCAACTCTCCCAGTGGCACTGGACAGAGCGGCCGGGCTGATGGGACACATCAGGAGATAAAACAGAAGAGGAGGATGAAGGCGAGGCTCAGAGATTCTGGCTACTTAGCCTGTGGCATCTACAAGGCCAGGCGAGGGATATTCATTCACTTTTCCAGAGACAGAGATCTCGGCACTAAATGGACAGAGGAATTAAGCAGCCTGATTTCAGGTTGCTCCTCGGAGCTGCGGGACCCGGGTGACCCCAGAGACCCAGGGCACAGCCCGCAACTCATCCACACTCGCACGTCTGCTGACCCAGCTGGGCAGCCACACGAACTTACGGTGACAAGGAGTTTGTTTCCTAGTCGTGATTCAAAATGCCCTTTGAGAAATAACATCCTCCACACACCAAAGGACGGGGCTAGGTATTGTCCTGAGAGTGCTTCCTTCCTTTTGGGCCTGGCAAGGAGTTAGGGTGGCACAGGCCTGAGGACAGGAGGGCCCCTGAGCCGCCCCCCTGGGTGTCAGGGCTGCCAGGAGATGGTGCAGGTGGCTCTGCACGTGGTCTGACCCGGAGAGTGTCTGTCAACGCTACACCTGCCTTTCTCAAAACAAGACTCACAGACAAGCGCCTGCAGCAGGAGAGGCCAGATGCCCCTAAAGGCTGGGATTCAGGGTCCTCCTCTCCTGGGGGTTTTACAACAACACCCCGCGCCCCTCTCCACTGGTGGGCCTGGAACGTGAGGAATGTGCTGCTCTCCTCCTTCCTTGAGGCCAGAGGAAGTAAATAGGGGATACTTTTAAGGGTGGATGGTTGTCCCAAATCTGACCATGCCTACAAACTTGCACACCATCCTAGGTAAGAGATAAGCAGGGAAGTCAGTGGGAGGAGGTGCCACGGTCTCCCCTCCCCCCTCCTTTAGAATAACTCAAGTCCAAAGGCATCATTGCAAAGGCCAAGGCCATGCAAGGGGCAGGGACCATGGGCAGGGGTGGCAAGGGGAGGGCCTGGCTCCCCCAGTGCATGCCTCTCTCTGGCCTCTGTCTCCCCACTTTTCTGCAGCTGCTGCTCCTACCCCTCACTGCACTCCCTGGGCCCATGTGCTTGTCTGTAGGTGCCACTGTGGAGCCAGGGGATCTCGAAAGTCCGCAACAGCCCAGACAAGGAGAATCCCCGGCAGGGATTCCCTAGTACAGCACCTCACGCTATTCCACACAATGACAAACACAAGGACAAGACACCATGTTAGCAGAATCTGGATATTGATGGATATTGATGGAAACAACACTTCAGTGACGTCTACACCCATCACCGCCATCGCCACCACGGCAGCAAGGCCTCACGGATGCACACTGGAATTGGGCAAAGCCCTCTGATTCTACATCTCCCCAAACTCAGCTTTCAAAGCAGAGAGAGTGCTTATGGTGCCAGCTGTGGTGGGATCTTAATGTTTTAAGTCCTGCTTCCACTGTGAAAGCCGTGAGGATGTGTGAGACACAGCTCTGCCTGCAGAGCAGTGGACAGGAGACTAACGGTGCAAGGCCCTGGTGACAGTGTGGCTGGGGACAGGGAGAAGGGACAAGCTCATGCAGGAAGGGAACACTCTGAATTTAATTCCAAGGGGGAGGTGTGGGGCCTCAGCAAGATTATCACCAGGTTCCACAGTGAGCGTAGAGACCTGCAGATGGAGCTAGCACCCGAGGCTGGCCGGCTTTGGGGTGCCCTGAAAGCCACGGCGTGGGTGATGGTGTGTAGGAAGGCTCCCCCAAACATAGCTTGAAGGGTCCTTCCAGGATGGGAGTGCAGGAAAGCCTCAGGAAGCTGGGGCAAAGCCTGGGGTAGGGATCACTCTGGGGGACAGTGTAGGAGGCAGAGAAAGAAGCTTCTGGAAGGAATGGGTGCTCGTGTAGATGTGCAGAGCAGCGATGGATACAGAGATCCCGGGGGGGGGGGGGGGGGGTGGGGGGGGGGGGGGGGGGGGGGAGCCTGAGGAGGTGCTGGAGGGGAAGCCCAGCAGAGGAGGGCTCAGCGCGGCTGCCCAGATGCAGTGCGAAGGGGCCTCTCAGGCTCCAGGAGGGCTAGCAACCCCAAGGTGTGTGGCCTCAGGAGAACCCCAGTGACGGGGACTGGCGGGAGAGGAGGGGGAAGAAGCTGGCGTTGAAGGGACAGGCAGACCTTCAGTCAGAGCTGGTCCAGAGGGAGGAAACCCACCCTCCTCAGTCTCAGGAAACGCCCCTCCTTCGTCTGACTAGAACTAAACCAAGGAGGAGGAGCTGCCCCCCCCCCCCCCCCGCATCAGCCACCGAGCCTCCGCCCCACTTACGCGGGCCCAGCAGGTAGCCGGCGCTGTTCAGGGTCCAGCCTCTCTTCTCCTTTGCCTTCGGTGGAGAAAAGCGGGTCAGGGAGTCAGAGTGGAGGTGCCCAGAGTGGGAGGTGCCCAGGCTCTTCCTGCACAGCAGGGGTGACGCTTGGGAGAGCCGGGGTTCCCTCTCCGAGTTACAGACACACAGGACGGCTGCCCCGCCAGGGGGTTCCTGTCACATCCCCGCCCAGACTCCTGTCGCACCCCACTCTCTTTTACAGGACACCAAGGACCGGCGTGATAAGGCATCTGCTGCTCCTTATTTTTAACTTGCCCACGGGGCCAAGCTGAAGTGCGGCACTTTCCTGCGGTGCTGCGCAGCCAGGGCTGTTTGGCGCTGGAGGAAGTTCCCCTGGGACCCCGAGCTCCCTTGTCCGCAGGTCCCCGAACCCTTCCCAGAGGGAGCTGCCCCCGCCCCCCAGCCCAGGCAGGCAGAACTCAGGGACTTAACCTCCACCCTCCAGCCCAGGCTGGTTCCCTTGCTCTCTCTCTCTCTTTTTTTTTTTTTTTTTTGTCTTTTTGAGACAGGGTCTCACTGTGCAGTTCAGGCTGGCCTTGAACTCACTTTGTAGCCCAGGCT